GAAAAAATACAAAGAAAAAAAGAACGTCGTAATTAAACGAGGAAAAAAGAAAGAACGAGAAACGAAAAACGAAAGAGAGAGAGAGAGAGAGAGAGAAAGACAATCTTAAAAAAAAAAAAAACACTTCGTTCGAGCGAAACACGTTGAATATATTCGGTATAACAAGTGATGGAAAACGGCGAGAGTGTGCATGAAGGATCAAGCAGATCCAGGATGGAGCAACTGGCACTGCGGGTCCTCGTCGAGGACAAGCAGGAAGTCTCGAGAGGGACACTTCCGTCCGCGATGGCCTCGATCACAATGGTGCGTGAGAGGGATAAAGGGGTGTTAGATAGTGTGCCAATGAACGTTTTCAAAGAATACGGTCTTATCGCTTCCTATGTTTCGTTCTAACTATTTCCGTTCCGTTCTTTTTCTGGGAGCCATCTTTTGTTTAGCCGTTTCGCTCGTGAAATTATTTCATTTCATTATTTGTACCAAGAGAAGGAAAGAAAATTAATAATTATATAGCGAGAAGAAAAGAAAAATGAGAGAAACGATATTAATTTCGAGTATCTGTCTATGGATACTAATAATGTTCTTCTCTTTCAGATATTTTCCAATGAAAATTCTCAACCGACTAACGCGATATCAAAGATTGACCGAGGGTTGCGAGCCCGGGTAGGAGGATGATAGAATGTATATGCGAGAAAGAAGGATAGAGAAAAACAGAGAGTGGGAGAGAGAGAGAGAGAGAGAGACTAGGTCTAGTTGGGGAAGCTCGTATTGATCGTTTCTGGGTCCATGTGACGCGCCTGCGTTTTGCCGTGGGGTAGAATCGTAGCGAGGGTAAACTGTGGGAAGGAGGGTGGGAAAGAGTGAGAAGCGGAGAGGGACAGAGAGAGCCGTGCCGGGGTTCATATACCCCCAGGGCAACTGCAACGTTCTACCATGCCACCGACCAATCAATGGAGCTTCTCTACCTCTGTGTCTCACCCTGTTTCCTCTCTTTCCCTCTCCCTCCGTCCATTCGTCATTCTTTTTCTCTCGATTTTCCGCGATTCTTCGTCCATCATACGTAATATCGCACACACGCATCGTCCCCCTTCACGGATTTACGGTATTAATACTTGACAACGGCGAGTGTCCAATCCCACCCTTACGGATCCCGTACGTACCGATAATCCGTCGAAACTTCGTTCGTTCGAGTTTAAAGAGAGCCAATGCTAATTCTCCTAACGAGTTCTCGAGGACGATAACGATAAGAATATATAGGGTTGCGGAGGTAATCGTTACTGCTCGCCTATTAACTTTATCCTTGGCCTTTGAACGAATAATGTCGTCAACGAGAAAAATATCGCAAAAATTGTTCTGCTTCGTTTGATATTAATCGGTCATTTTTATCGCTAATTTCATTCGAATTTCATTCTGCGAGGAAAGATTGCGCGTGAGTCTCCAATTAATTCCTTTTTTCTTTCTGCGTCAATCATCATGCGTATCAGAGTTCGTGGATGTCGGTGATATCATCCATATCATTTCAATAGATTGAAATTTTCATTAGTTCGAGATGCACGAAAGTCACGATATTATTTCATCACGACCGAACCAACATTTCTTTCCTCTCCACATTTATGTTTACTTTACGTAATCACCCTTTGTGGACTTCGAGAAGACGTCGTAAGGTTTCCCTGAATATTTAGTGATGCGATCATTCCCTGACGAGAGAGAAACTGATCACGAATCGATGCATATTTATTTTACGAGGAAACGGGGAGGAAAAAAAAAAAATGAAGAGCTACTACAAGGAAAAACAAATCGATCGGTTGCACCTTAATTAGCACGGCGATGCTCGTTTGATCGATCTTCGTTATATTTCCTAGGTGGGGTTGGTTCGTCCATTTTGACGCAAATGTTTGTTAATCATCCCTATATTCCAACGATACCCTATTTTCTAACGAAACATATCCAAATATATCGATCTCATCGAAGGATTTCCTCCTAGGATAGAAATTATTTATAAGCCCCTTATAATTATTTTGTCCCCTTGCATATTTAACTCGCATATTTAGGGAGCTATTTTCACTAACGTTTGCCATTGATCCTCCTGTTAGTTCCATTGGCTCGAAACTCGTGCCTTTGTCACGCCTCGAATAGGATCCCATTAATAGGATTCGTGAGAATATCGATAGGATAGAGGAATAGGATGGTCGATAGATTATCGACGAATCTCGTCAAGGGTTCAGCGACCGTGGAAAAACTTCACGGGCAGAATTATTACTCCCGTGGCGGAGCTGGGTGGAATTATGCTCGTGCACGAGCGTACTGGCGGATCGATGATGAAGGTGGGGCCAAACCCCAAAAACGTTGCTTCGACAGCTGGATCATAACCAGGAACGAAAGAGGAGGGTTGTTCGATACTACGTTTTGTAGTCTCGACGAATGATTCACAATTTATGTCTCTTCATAAATGGCTTTGATCCTGTACCGGAAAATGGTAAATCGTCAATCGTCGTTGGCACGTGCTATTCTCCGCATTCTCTAAACGCATCGGAAAATATATACGACTTAGTGAAAATTACGGAGGATTGATTCACGTATGGACGATCGAAGCAGCGATTAGAATGATTTTGAATAAATTTCCCTCTCGGTTCGATGGTCTGAATATTGTTTCGCTGTTCGTTGTCGTTAAGGCGATCAGAGGCCGGCAAACTTTCATAATTCCAACGGTAATGCGGTGACAACTTCCTGTCGCACCGTGTGGCCGGTTTTAAAGCCACCGAGCATAATGGAACACGTTCACATATGCGTCCACTATGTCCCTATTTTTTTTTTCTTTTTTTTTTTGCATACCGTTTCGCATCTGTTGCAAGTCCTGTGCCCAGTTTCGTTCCCTTTTTTCTCATGCGGCAAGATACAATACAGGCTTGCTCCCTCTTTCTCTTTCTTTGGCCGATGTTAGGTCCGGTCATGTACGTAATATGCAAAGAACCTGGTCAATCGTTCGTGTCTAACAAAAGCAGGAAGTCAATCGAAAAGATCGTTCCTTTGATTACGAGGATTAGCGGATATGCAAAGATTGATTTTTTTTTTTTTTTTTTTGCAGCGATTAGAATAAGAAATATAGGGTCGGTGAAGTACAAATTATATACTTGGATCTATGAAATTCGATTGAATGGATCGATGATAGATATTTCTTCGTATTTATACGTGAACATATTTAATTTTAATTTTAATTTTAGTGATAGTGCAATGTATTCGTGGTTTTGAATCGATGACTGACAATGACTTCTCGGTATCTTTTTAAAGAAGAACAACAACAAATTATTGAAGAAGAATTCATCTGAACGCCGCTGTGCGTTAAGTTTTAATTAGACGAATTTTAAAGTGAAAGTACATTATACAATGGAGTTCTTCAGGAAGTTCTGACAAAATAGTTCATTCTGTATGATGATGTAATACAAGGGAAACGAATTTCCGAAAACACGAACTCGCGGTTATTGGCACGACCGCCAAGTGTTGCTCGGCTTGTTTCGTCAGCATCGCATAATTTTGGCTCGCCGTCATTTTAGAGACTGCCTTCTCTCGATCTTCGAAGATAAAGCCAAGGTAAGGTCAGGGATGCAGCTTGGATGTTCACTCGTATTCATATGCATTCTTTTTTTTTTTTGTTTTTGTAGAAAATGATTCGAATGAATTATCCACACGAATAACGAACGAAATGAAATTTGCGTCAACTTCATTAGATAAATTCAATAAATTTAGGAGAAACGTGCGATGTAGGAAGAAGCGATGCATAAATCGAAGGGGAACGATTGAAATGAGATGGCGAAGCGGTAGATTCAGACGAGTTCATCGACTTTTATCCTCGAGATTTTTCATCATTGGATTTTGACTCTCGCTGAAGTTGTGTATTTTTTTCTCTCTTCGAGAAAGATTCAATTTCATGGTCTTTGGCAAATGGCCACCAATAAGTTTCGACGATGTAATTCATGGTTTCGAGTTCACTACCGATCGAGTGCGGCCTCGTAAGGGGTAAAAGGACTCTTGTATCGACGCGATAGCGCGCTGAGACGACGGGGGTCAAAAACCGTGAAGGGGTGGTCATGATCTGATGCAAGGGGTGATGCAAGCGGCGAGAGGGAGGCAAGAGGGCGGCATACCTTCTGCCTCGTAATGCCAGGGAGCCATGTTGCAAACATTTCCTAACGAACAAACCCCTGCAAATATCTTGAGGGGGATACTGAAATATTGCGCGTGAACGGCCCCTAGCTTGTCACCCCTCTTGTTAACTGGATGCAATTTAAACAAAATGACAGGTGTTATTTTTTTTTTTTTTTTTAATCGTTTTTAACACCGGAATAAGCAAAAAAAAAAAAAATCGCGACGCGTTTACTCAACCCTTAAGCAACAATTGCGAGGATACGAGGGAGTAAAAGGAGAAAAATTTAAAATCTTAGGATAAAGTATAACGTGGTGGAGATTCGAGATTTATTAAAATTCGACAAAGGAGAAAAGGATGAAGGGGAGGGAGGGCAGGGGAGCCAGTTCGATCGACGATGGGAGGTCACAGTTTATTTAAGAACGCGCATACGTCTCTTATTAGTTCGATCGGCAACCCCTCGCATCATACGAGTACATACGTGCGAGTAGGTAGGAGGAGATACGTAATAACGAGGGGTTTGCAGTGGGTTGGCAACGAGCTTAGCCGAGGGTGCGCGACCGCGCCCGAGCTAGGCCGAGTTCGGCCGATCGAGCTCGTCGGGCTGTGCAAGCCGCTTGAAAGCGGCTGGTGTGTCCAGTCTCTAGGCAGCCTCCGCCCGTGTTATATCGTTATTTCCGTTTCCTTAGTATAGTGTTTAACGCTTTAATTTCTAGTCTCGCGTAACCCTCTACACACATTCACACACACACACACACATATATATATATACATACACATATATACGCGTATATTGCATTCTATTCTTTAAATCCGCGCGCTCTCTTTCACACACATATATACACACACACATATACACACGCACACATACACACGTTACACACACTGTATGTACTCCCTCGTTTTCTTTTTCACGATCGAGGAAATTTGGTGATCTCGTTTTTCGACGATATCGGACGTGAATAATTTTCGGCTCGCCGCTCGTACATTTACACGTACACTCACACATATGTGCTCGTCAAAGTGAAACCAAAGGACTGTCGACCAGGAGGCGAGCATAAATGCCGATTTACGAGCGCTCGCGTCGTACTTTTCTTTCATTGATTTCCCCTTCTGTTCCGGGCGGCGGTGCGAGAGCGTGATAGTAGGTGCACGTAAAGAGAGAGTCAGAGAGAAGAGCAGGGACCGGCACGATTCATCGACCAGTCGTGTAATAGTTGCACGTTGCTCGGTTTCGCGTGCGATTGAAAAGAGTTTTCGAAGGAAGGAAAAGAAAAGAGGAAAAGTAACGTGGAGAGAGGGAGAGAAAAGAAGTACGGGAAGAGAGAGTGTCGCGTCTCGGGAAAAAAGAAAGAAAAGGTGTTTTCTGTGTTTATTGTGTGGATGTGTGTCGTGTGCCCTCGCGTGCATCGATAAAAAGGTGGATCCTGTAAAGACAGTGGAGAAAAGGTAAGCTTGAGTTGAGTCACAAAAACATTTCGGTCGAATGATATACACACAGATGTTGTACGCGGAGCAGTAACGTCCTTCAAGGAGGTTTCAGAGCACGTGCCTTGCGAGTTTCGTGACACATTCTCATTCTCACCCTTTGCTTCCTGCGTGCTTTCGTCGTCGTCGTCGTCGTCGTCTTCTTTTTCCACGCCACCCTTCCCCTCCTCCACTCCTCCCACCTCCGCTGCGACTGCCACTTGCCTTCGCTCTTCACCCTTTTCTCCTCTACCGCCGCTTCGCTATTCTTTTCGATAACAGAACGACTTATTGCGTTTTCCCGTGTCGCGTGTACGTTTTCGTGTGTGCGTGCGTGCGTGCGTGCGTGCGTGCGTGTGTGTGTGTGTGTGTGTGTGTGTTTTCTCGCGCGGAAAGGGGCGTACTTGAAGGGCGCGGGAGGGGATTCCCTTGGAATCGTAGCCAGAGTAGAGAAAGAGAGAGAGTCTCGTGTGCGCAACGGAGAGAAAAAAA